CAGAGAGAGAAATAGATAAGCAAGCTGCAATAGACAAGAGATACAGATCAACAAGCTGCAGTTAACTAGGGATATAAGTAACCCTCGACTTATGAACACAAAATTTCTGTTGCTAAGCGAGACAGTTGGGTTTTGCCCCATTTTACCACCTTTCTGGCCACAATTGTGAAGTGGATCCCTGCAGTTAAGTTAGTTAAACGGTTGTTAAGTGGAACTGGCTTCCCCATTGACTTTGCTTGTCAGAAAATTGCACAAGGGGATCACGTGACCCCGGGACACTGCAACTGTCCTAGGTACATGTCAGTTGCCAAGCATCTGAATTCCGATCACGTGACCATTTGGGATGCCGCAATGGTTGTTAGTGTAAAATATTGTCATAAGTCAACGTTTTTCAGTGCTGTTGTAATTTTGAATGGCCACTAAGCCAAAGATTATAAGTCCAGGCTTTCCTGGAGGTGTAATTGACTAGAGATATAGATAAAGTAGCTGCAACTGACTAAAGATACAAGCCGTAGTTGACCAGAGATGCAGATAAACAAACTCTTAATTGACCAGCGAGGTAGATAAGCAAGTTGCAATTCATGCTGATTTTTCTCTTATTTCGTCCTAGAATACAGCTCCAATGTGCCGATTTGGGCTTTGCGGCTTATACCTGCAACAGCTGGGGGCTTATGCATCCCCTTGGCGTATCAAATATTAGTTGAATTACATTTCAACCATTTTGTTGCCCTGGGTGCTGCAGTCCTGATTTTATTCGGTAAATAAGATATCATTCCTTTCAATTCTCCATCGGTGCCAGGACCAGAATCTTTCTGAGATATTTCACTATTCTCTTTATTTCCTCAAGCTGTATTTTTAACCCTCTTATTAGCTAAGACAACCGAGCAGCCTTCTGCAAATCTGTAAAAGATTATTCTGTTGGTCCTCTTATTTTAGGTTGCTAATTGTAAAGTTACTTACTGTAGTCTTCAGAAACGGGGTAGCGTTGACATGAATTTAAAAGTAGTGACAAATGAATTAATTTAAGAGGCACAGTCTCTGTGGAGATTCTCAGTCATCCAGGTCATGGATGCTTTTGTAAAAGGCAATTGGACTTTTTAAAGAGGCACAACAGAAAAGGAAGAAGGAGTTGGGAGGGAAGAGGGGAAAAAAAAGATAGCAATTATGACATTGATCCATACAGTCAAAACAAGAGAAGGAAAGAGGAATTCTTTTTTTAGCAGAGCTAATCTATGTCTTTACTGTTGGTAAACATCCATAGGAGATTCCTTGAAAAAAACGTAAGACAGCTTTTATGCATTCCAATATCATTTTCGTAAGTTTGAGAAAAATGGCAGAAGGCACTCACAACGGTGCTGTTAAAATCTTATCCCTGAAAGGAATGTTTGTTGAGTTGTTAGGCTGTCCACAAAAATAGTCATCAAGCAAAGCTTCTAGGATTGCAACTGTTAAAAATATTAGCATAAGATTTCTTTGTTACCTTATTTTATTTGTCTGTTTTTCCCCCTCCACAGGCGTTTTATTACTTTGTATTGAATGGATGTGAAGAGTTGCTGTGTATCTCTTTGCTTGTTAGATACATCCAATTCATAATAAAATTAAATTAGGCAGTGAGACTAGGACATTTGAAAAGTTGTAGCAAAAAGCTGTATGTTTGGCTAAAAGGGTTTTTAGAAGTTGAAACATTTTTTCCCAGCTTTTAAGAACTTGTTCTGGCCAATCCCCATTGGTTGATTGCAAAACTCTTTATATTGCTTGCTGTAACAGGGTCTGCAACCCTGGCAACATGACTGGCTGAGGAATTCTGGGAATTGAAATCCACAAGTTGTAAAGTTGCCAAAGTTGTAAAAAGCTCATAGAAGGACCACTGTAGGAATAGACAGTCAAAACAATCCTCATTTCTCCTTTTGTGTCTTAACAGAAAATTCACTAATTACTCAATCCAGATTGATGCTGCTGGAGTCGATTTTAATTTTTTTCATCCTGCTGGCTGTTTTGTCTTATCTGAAGTTTCACAACTCTCAGAAACAAAGGTAAAATATTTCTTTGATTTTTCCACCTTGGTTTTGCAATAAAACATGAAGTTCCTCAAATCGGACCGAGCAATAACATGTCTTTGCATTTATGCTGTGACCCACGCTAACATGATTTATAAATGGCGATTTAGGGCTTAGCCAAAACCACCTGGGGATGGATGCTGCAAACAAACCAGGCTTAAAAAGTTTGTGTGAATTTTTTTTTGCAGTATATAAGATACAGGTTAATCCTCGACATACGACCACAGTTGTTAAGTGAATTTTGCCCCATTTTATGACCTTTCTTGCCACAGGCAAGAGAGAATTGGGCCAATCTTTTCTCCAAAGCACCAGAGGGCAGGACAAGAAGCAACAGATGGAAACTAACCAAGGAGAGAAGCAACCTAGAACTAAGGAGATATTTCCTGGCAATTAATCAGTGGAACGACTTGCCTCCAGAAGTTGTGGGTGGAGGTTTTCAAGAAGAGATTGGACAGCCATTTGTCTGGAATGGTCTAAGGCTGGCCTTATGATTGATGTGTTTAACTTTCTTTTTTTTAAAGCCCTTTTTCTGCAAGATGGTGGCTCTGGCTGCTGCTAACTGGGGTCTCCTGTTCTTGTGCTGTTGGGTAAGCTTACCTCTTGTTGGTCTGCTAAGGTATCTGACAACAGATACCTTGTTCATGAACACCTTAGAACAGAGGTGTCCAGTCTTGGCAACTTCAAGATTCAACTTCAAGATTCAACTCCCAGAATTCCCCATGCTGACTGAGGAATTATGGGAGTTGAAGTCCACAAGTCTTAAAGTTACTAAGGTTGGACACTCCTGCTTAGATCTTCTGGCGGCCTCCCCTGTCCTTTTTGGGCCCATCCGGGGTTGTCTACGTGTTCTCCTCCTTACCTAAAACCCCAATGGGGGTGACATGCGAATGCAGCCAGCTTCTCCTCCTAATGGGCTTGGTTTATTGTGGCATTTCCTGCTTGCTTCGCAGGGTGAAATACATGGGCCTCTTCACTTACCTCCTCCTTCTGACCCTGGCAGGGGTCCATTCCTGGCAGCTGGTTGGTGATCGCTCCTTGTCCAACGTAAGTCGGAGGGCCAAGTAGGATGCAGTCGCTCTGGGGTGTTGGGAGTTGATCTCCAGGATTTCTGGAGAACTTTGGATTTTAGAATCCGTGGGATTTAGTTCGACACAGCAGTTTACCTTAGAACGTAATCAGTCAAGGTTGCAACAAATGTGTTTTTCCATACCTCTTTGATGGCAAAATTGGAAATATTGGTAAGTTAGATGCGAGGCTCTCTAACATAGACCTCTCCATAAATGATAGATAGATAGATAGATAGATAGATAGATAGATAGATAGATAGATAGATAGATAGATAGATAGATAGATAGATGATAGATAGATAGATAGATAGATAGATGATGGATGGATGATATATGGATTAGGTAAATAAGTAGATAGAGATATAAATTAGATAGATAAATAAGTAGACAGAGATATAGATTAGATAGATCGATAGATAGATGATAGATATAGATTAGATAAATAAGTAGATAGAGATAGAGATAGATAGATATAGATTAGATAAATAAGTAGATAGAGATAGATAGAGATAAGATAGATGATAGATATAGATTAGATAAATAAGATAGATATAGATAGAGATAAGATAGATAGATGATATATATAGATTAGATAAATAAGAGATAGAGATAGATAGATAGATAGATAGATAGATAGATAGATAGATAGATAGATAGATAGAGAGAGAGAGACAGAGACAGAGACAGACGGACGGACGGACGGACGGACGGATAGATGGAGAGATGGATAGATAGATAGATAGAAAGATAGTTAGACCATAGATGGCAGATAGAATAAATAGATAGGTAGATGATAGATAGATAGATAGATAGATAGATAGATAGATAGATAGATAGATAGATAGATAGATAGATAGATAGATAGATAGATAGATAGATGGGTGGGTGGGTGGGTGGGTGGATGGATGGATGGATGGATGGATGGATGGAGATTATAGATAGCTAGATTTAACTTTAATTCTGTTGGAAACATTGATATTTTTAAAAAAGGAACCGTGATTCTAATCTCTCTTGACAGGCAGAGGAACACTTTTATTAAAGTTTTAGGGCCCCTAGAGTAGATTGTAACCCAGCTAGATGCAGCCCCGTCTGGCAATCTTTAGTTTTAGAAGCAAAAGGGAATCACTTCGGCTTTTTCCTTTTCAGGTCTCCCTGCTGTGGCACTTCATAGCCCGAGGAGTAGCTCTTCTGATCATCCCTGTCACTCTCTACCTCTCCTTTTTCTACATCCATCTGGTTTTGCTGTACCGGTCTGGGCCTCACGACCAAATCATGAGCAGCGCATTTCAAGCTAGCTTAGAGGTGATCGTGGTCAAAAAGGGAGAATTGGGGGGGGGGGGGGTTTGCTCCCTTTTTTTCTTTCTCAGAAGAGCTGAAGATTTTCTCTCCCCCCCCCCCAACCACACACACTTTTAGAATTTCTGCTTTTGTTCTTTATTTCTAAATGTTAATTGACTGGCTGAATGCTGATTTATTTCAACCCTCTGCTGGACTTTATCTGCTCTTTCTGTTTTTATTATTATTATTATTTATTGGGTTTTACCAATTTCTGTACAGGTAGTTCTCGTAATTGTTGTTTCTGTTGTTAAGTGAGACATTGGTGAAGCGAGTCTTGAACATTGCAACAGTCGTAAATGCGAGGACTGGTTCTAATAACCTTTTTTTCAAAATTGTCATAATAGTCGTAACTTTAATCATCTCTTGATGTGGCTGTCGCTAGAATCTACCAACGTTTTAAAAAAACTAGGCTGATGGTTTTATGCTTCTGGATTGTGTAACCAACACTGTGTATTTTTTTTTTTTTTTTAGGGAGGGCTTTCGCGCATCACTCAGGGGCAGCCCTTGGAAGTGGCTTATGGTTCCCAGATTACTTTGAGGAATACCTTGGGCAAACCCTTGCCGTGTTGGCTTCATTCTCACCGGAATACCTACCCCATCAGGTGAGAAAGGGGAGGGATTGTTGGCAGACGGGATGTTGTGTACAACAACCCCAGCCTGTCCCACCATGGGCCCCGTCTCCAGGAGATGCTGGGTTTTTTTGGCGTAGAATTTCTGCTAAAGAAAAGATCACAAGGCTGGGGAGAAGTGGCCAAACTTTATTTTTACTCTTTTACTAAATTTACTATTAGCTTGTTTGGCAGTTCCTTGATGGAGGATATTCTTTGCTTCTTGGTGGTTAGTCTCATGTTAATCTTGATGTTCATTTCTGCTCGTTCTGCTCTTTTTGGCCTAATGACTGTCTTTTTTTTTTTTGAATGATATGTAGAGGTTGTTTATGTCTCTGTGCCCGTCGATGGCCAATTTGGAAGTGTGCCAGACTCCCAGGGATGAGGCCAAACCCACCCTAAAACCTTTTCCTTTGTCTTCTAGCCACCCTCCGAGGGCTGAGATCTCTTGTCTTCTCTTCCTACTAAATGGAGAAAACAAATCTTTTTTCTGTGACCTAAAAAAAGCCCTTCTTTTCTGCCATTTCCTCCGTATCTTCCCCAGGTATGAAAATGGGCGGGGAAGTTCCCACCAACAGCAGGTGACCTGCTATCCTTTTAAGGATGTGAACAACTGGTGGATCGTGAAGGATCCTGGAAGGTAAGCCTCTTCAAGGTAGTCCTCGCTTTACGGCAGTTCATTTAGGGACCGTTCGAAGTTACAAGAAAGTCCAGTGGCAAGCAAGGTTCGTCAAATGGGGCAGAATTCACTCAGCAACCTGAATTTTGGGCTCAATGGTGTTCGTAAGTCAAGGACTAGTGTACTTTATTTGGCCAAGGAATTTTTCACTCAGTATATTTGCAAAGCAGCAGAGAAAATAATAATAATAATAATAATAATAATAATAATAATAATAATAATAATAATAATAATAATAATAATAATAATAATAATAATAATAATAATAATAATAATAATAAAAGGGGGAAGTAACGAAGATAATAAAAGGAATAAATAATAACATTTTTAATGGGTTGATACACTTTGATTTTGTTGGTTCATTTTGCCTGTTTTTCGGCCTTTCCCAAACAGGCAGCAGCTGGTAGCTAGCAACCCACCACGACCTGTGCGACACGGCAACATTGTGCAACTGGTCCATGGAATCACCACCCGTTACCTTAACACGTAAGCTCTTTCTTCTTTGTGTGTCTTCTGGAAATGGCTGTAATTGTATGTGTGAATGGCTTTGGAGACTGGGTCTAGAGATGCCGCCAAGGAGATGGTCAGATAAGGGGCAGCTTAGCCTTCAGTTGTACGATGGGCTGGGCAAGGGGATCGAAAGAGACCCTCCCTAATTCCTCAGGGGAGAATTGTCTGAGTGCCAGACTTCCAGGAATTCTCTAGCGTGTTTACCCTTAGCTGGGGCTACGGTTAAGTCCGTCCATGTGTTGTGCAATGAAGGAGTTTTCATCCTGTCTCCTGACTGCTACTTGGTGTCCCCCCCCCACCTCCTAGTACTGAGGATGTTACCTAATTGGGTAGTGAAATGTCTGCAAGAAAACTACTAAGCTTAGAGAGCATCAAGGATCCCACAGTCCTTGTTTACCACCACCTCCTCCTCCTCCTACTACTACTACTACTACACTCCCTCCTTTCTAGCACTGATGATATTACCTAGTTGGGTAATGAAACGTCTGTAAGAAAACCACCAAGCACAAAGACCACCTCACAATTCAACCCTGAGCTGCAAATATTCTCTTCTGTTGCTTTCTCCATCCTGCAGGCACGATGTGGCTGCGCCCCTCAGCCCACACTCCCAAGAGATATCCTGTTACATCGATTACAACATCTCCATGCCCGCTCAGAATCTCTGGAGAGTGGTAAGGGCCAGGCTGTGGAATTTAAAGCAGTTGATAAAAGTTGGGCTGAACTAAAAAAATAAAAAAATTAAACATAGCAATATACCGCTTCATAGTGGCAGGAACAATCAAGCCAAACAGGACAGCATCAGGAAGCATGTCTTTCAATCCCACAGGAAATTGTGAATCGCGACTCGGATAATGAGATTTGGAAAACGATCCTGTCCGAAGTCAGACTGGTCCACGTCAACACGTCGGCCGTGTTAAAGGTGAGTGGGCTCAGGGTCTTGGCCTCTTGTAGTCAATGGGAGGGACCTTGGGGGTCTTCCAGACCAACCCCCTGCTCAGCCCACAGAAGGAAAAGGGGCGTGGGAAGCATCTCAGAAGGGACCCCCCCCTAGTTTTCCAGAGAGTATAAGATTCTGTTCGAAAGATTTGAAAGATTCTGTTAATGTAATCTTACAATAAAGTATTAGCATTTACGGTTGTGTCTCGTCTGGACTACCTCGAAGGGCTGATGTAGCACCACCCCACTGATTCAGATAGATGGGGCTTCCCAGATTCTTCAACCTGTTGAACCCTGGTTGGCATTTTAAGCCTCTTTTTTTTTTTTTTTTTAAACCCTTCTGTTTTTTCTCACTGCCAGCTCAGTGGAGCCTCCCTCCCGGAGTGGGGGTACCGACAACTGGAGGTGATTGGCGAGAAGATCTCCAAGGGGTACCATCAAAGCATGCTGTGGAACGTGGAGGAACACCGATATGGAAAAAGTTAGTTTTTAAGAAACTTAAGAAGTCTTTGGATGTTAATCCAGAATGGGTTTTTTTTTCTGCAAAGTTCTGGAAAGACTTTTTTCAAACGTCCCGCTCCAGACCTGTACAGGAAGTCCTTGACTTAATGACCACAATTGAGTTATGTTGCTAAGTGAGAACACCCCAAAGGCTTGTGGGAGAATGGCCCCAATTAACCTGGCTTTTTTTAGGTCTCTTTGGTTTTAATCTTTTCCAGGCCATGAACAGAAAGAGAGAGAGGTAGAACTGCACCTGCCTACTCAGATCAACATCAGCCAGAACCTCACCTTCGTTGCCAAGTTCACCGAACTGCAGGTGAAAGAAAGGGGCCAGAAAGCCAGCCTTTGAGAAAGTCGTAGGGTGGACCTCAGTTCCCAGAATTCTCAGCAATGGCCATGCTTATCCAGGGGATTCTGGGAATTGAAATTCATGTATTGTTTCTGGCGATGTATTTAGCCGACCATCTCAGCAAATGACTCTGGGTGGGGAAGAGTATTTAAAAGAAAATTCAAAACCCTTAGGATCACAACTGTAAAAGTTAAAATATGTAGCAGCTGAGAAACCAGACTGTTGTGTAAATCCCACCAGCTGGTTTCACAACTTGGGAGTTGTAGACTTCAAGAGACATTTCGAATTAGGGGCTGTATCACTGGTAGCTTGCATTGATATTCAGGAAACCCAATTTGTTGGAATATTCATGAGCAGGAAGAGTCATGTGGTAACTCAGTCAGCCAATGAGAGTAAAGTGCTACTGAGTCTGTGCAAAAGGTTTGGAGTTAGAAGCTGGGTCTCAGGTCTCAGGTCTGTCTCTGCTGTAAGAAGTCTTCATTTATGCTATGTTACTATGAAGAAGAATATATGGTATTGTAAATATTTTTATATGAATATAAAGAGTTTATTTGAATCAGCTAAATGCAGTCAACTGTGAGAGCTTCTGGTTTATTTTTACCAGCAGAGAAATTAAAATTCTCTAACACAATTCCTCTGTTTCGTTCTAGTGGAAGATCCTTACCCTGAAGAACGAGGACACGGAACATAAATATAGCTCATCCCCGTTGGATTGGATCACCCTGGAGACCAACATTGCTTACTGGTTCCATTCCAGCTCAGGGGTAACTTTACTGGATTTTTACATGGGTGAATCATGTTTCCTGGAATACATAGGGGCAATCTCCAGATCTCCCTTTGTTCCAGAGAGAATTTTGGCATAGCCAGTTTCCTTTTTTAGCCATATAGCCAGTCCTCAACTGAACCCGAAATTTCCGTTCCTAAGCAAGTGATACAGCCCCCCCCCCCAATTCAAAATGTCTCTTGAAGTCTACAATTCCAAGTTGTGAAACCGGCTGGCGGGACTTACTCTAGAGAAGGCTGAAAAAAACGGTCATAAGTCACATTCTCAGCGCCGTTGAAGCGAACCATTCACTAAATGAAGGGTTGTGAGGTGAGGACTAGTAGCAATGCCCTCCACGGTCTGCGGAGAGGGGA